CCTCTCTTTGATTGCAAATAATCAAACAAAAAAACCATAATCAGATTTGTGAATAATATTTAAATCTATAACCCTAATAAAACTATCTCAAAACCCTTACCAAGAACCCACAATCCAAGTTTTTAAGAAAAGACATAAATTATCCAATCCACAAACAGATCAAAAACTCATTTCAAGAAAATGAATTGCAACTGTTGTTATTCACACACTGACAACATGATTAATATTCTTCCATGCGTCTTGTCTTGTAAAACAAAGGAGAAAAGACAGAGAAGGACAACAGAACTAAACCTTTCAAAAATGAGTTTCACAAGGTGAGACAATGACACGAAGCTAGCTCATTTGCATCATTCATGAACTTTTACTGCCTTTGCGTAAATATACACAATTACATTTTAATGCTAACAGGATTGTTAGTCTCCACTCTCTCTATTTCTCTTTGAAATCCTTACCTCCAAAAAAGCAGTAGAGTACTAGAGTATAATAGGAAAGCAATCCACTCAAAAAGAACTAGAGTACATCAAGACATGTATCCATTTCTCTAACCCAAGTAGAGTACATCAAGACCCTATTGCGGCACAAATAGGGTGAAACACATTCTAACAGCTAGTTTATAACCTTTGGAATAAAAGAAAATTTTAAAAAAGAAAAAACCTTTTGGCCAGAATGATATTTGTTATTTTACCTGGACTAGCAAGATTTCTGCTCAATCTGCAGGAAAGGGCTAATCTTAGAAATGAAGCTCAAACATCGGATGTAAAGCTTGATAACAAGAATAAGACATGGTGTAAATCAAATCTTACATGAGTTGTTCATGTTGGGGTGAAGTGTATTGAATGGGCAAGGTTTCCATGGCATTCGTGAGAATTTGGAGTGTCTCATGTGGAAACAACCCGACCTCAGCTTGTTGCACCCATCGACGAATCGATTGCACCCACCGGCAAACCCGTTTTCAGCACTCACCATTGCAGAGAAGAGCTAAGTCCTGCATTCTGGAATTGAGGATTTAGGAACCTTTATTTCTTTTGTTCTTTTTGTCTTTTAGTTTGTTGTCTTAATAGATGGATTTATTAACTGGGCTGGGTAATTTTGAGGCCTGGTCCCTTTTTCTGATTTTAATAAGGAAAAATTACAGAAATCTCACCTTTTAGTTTACTTATTATCATTATTTCCTATAAATTTTACAAATTTTTAAAATCCCTCATTTTTGCGCATCAGATTAATGTATCTCGCGCATCAGATTAATGTATCAACGCTTATATTATTGTATCTCGCGCATCAAATTAAGTGTATCATGTATAAAATGTACATCAGATTAGTGTATCATGTATAAAATGTAATGTATCTTACTTAACGATTAATGTATCTCGCGCAACAGATTAATGTATCAGCGCTTATATTATTGTATCCGTTTGAGGGATTTCTGTAATTATAAACTTTTAAGAGATAGATTATAATTTTGCCGTAAAAGTATGTGATTTCTGTAATTTGCCCTTTTAATAAAGTGCCCTGGCAGTCCAATTTCGTATTAAAAAAAATCTATGTTATTTTACATTTTAAAATAATTTTATTTTTTTTAACTTTAATACATTTTAACTAAAAAATGGAAAAAAGATCAGTTTGTTGTAAAATAAAAAAAATATTATAGTTTTTAAATTTTTTGGCCATTTAGCACTTCCCTTAAAAAATAGATTGTTTAGATTTTCAAATTATATGGTGATATTGCGAATTGTAATGTTTATTTGGGAAGGTACATGAATGACTACCCCTATAGTGTACTTTTCCTAACTAAAATGCATAAACATAAAGAGTTATTTATCTTCTCATTTAATCAAAATGGACAAGTCGTTGGACTTTAAGCAACTTGTCCTAATTTATAACGGATGGTCAAATGACAGTTTATTCATTTAAATTATTTTATAAAATTGTTAGTCTTTGAGCGGCGTATTTTAAATTTTATTTATTTATTAAGTTTGTTGCTGGAGCTTGAGCGACTTGCCTTTATTATTTTATTTTTTGTTTAAACAAGTTACTTTGAGGTAGGGTTGTTCATGGTTATGGTTAAAAAATCAAATCGAACCGCAATTCAATCCAAATCGATTAAAAAACCGATATTGATTGGGTTTGGTTAGGTTTGGTTTTAAATTTCGAAAACCGATATTATTTGGTTTGGTTTTGGTTTTACTAAAAAAACCACAAAAATAACCAAAACCGAACCGAATAAAATTAGATATATAAATTTTATAATTATTTATATATTATTCATAAATAAAATATAAATATTTTGTTAAATTTTAATCAACTTAAGTTTTTAACTTTACAATTTTCTTAAGCCCAACACTTTAGCCTAACTATAACAATCATAAGTCCAAGTCCATCAAAATCCATTTTAGTTTTTACCTACCCTACTTCACATAAAATAGTCACATTTTCTCTTAATTGAAACACTTTGTTCATGTAATGATTACTCTAGTATTGCTTAATTGAACCGATAATAACTTTTATGTGAATTGTTCATGTGCTAGGTGTTTGTGTCTATCAACGTAAGTCCTCAAAAAAATTACTATTACTTTCAAACCGAATAAACCAAAAAAACTGAACCAAATCAAACCAAACCAACAATAACCTAACCGACAATTATTTTTTTCGTTTGGTTTGGTTTGGTTTTAGAATTTAAAAAAAACAGACTAGATTGGTTTGATTTTGGTTTTAATCAATAATCGATCCAAACCAAACCACAAATACCCTACTTTGAGGTAAATGACTAGCTAATAAAAAAAATTATCAAATGTTCTTTACTTTTAGGGTATGGTTGGTAATTGGTACGGAGGAAAACATTTTTTTTTCAATTTTCTCATGTTTGGAAATGTTTTCCAAATCAACTCACTTTCCTTAAATTTAAGGAAAATGACTTCCATTCCAAAATTAAGGAAAACATTTTCCAAAATTCTACTTCATCCTTTAATTTTTTTTCTTACCCTACACATACCCCGTAGTCGATCCTCCCCATTCAAAAAAAAATTAAAATTTTTAAATTTCAAAATATTTTTTGAAAAATGTTTCAAATTTTTAGATATTTTTTACCTCACCCAACCCCTACTCTTGTTCATGTTTCAAATTTTAATATATTAACTCCCCCCCCTCCCCCCCCCCCCCCTCAAAAAAAAAAAACATTGCTTTTGCAAAATATTTCAATTTTTTTTTTAATTTTATATTTTACACCGCTCCCCCCGCCACCCATCACCCCTCAAAAGAAGGCCACCCCACCCATACTTTACGCAATATATTAGTCGGATACATCACTTTACGCGATGTATCAGGACGTACAAGATGTATCAAGACGTACGCAATGTATAAGGATGTTGCTTTACGCGATGTATCAATTTGATACGTCACTTTACGCAATGTATCGGTTGGATACATCACTTTATGCGATGTATCAGGACGTTGAGTGATGTATTCGAAATCGAACGATGTATTATGACGTTGAGGATATATCCGAAACTGCGATGTATCAAAATGTTTTGAAATGTATTTGAATTCCACCAAATTTAAAAAAGATTTTTGTAAGTTGAAAAAGACTAAGAATATAATGTAATCAGCTCTTAACACTATGAAATTTGTATAAATCTACTTTTAAATATCTACTATTTAATTTTAAAAAGCGTAATTCCCTATGTTATAAAACTTACTCAATTTAATTTTCAAAAAGCAAAATATGAAACTATTATTAAACAAAAAGAGTAAAGAGTTAGAATAACTAGTGATCTCTTGGACTTTGACCCATTTTAATTGTCACTAATAAATACACCAAAGTGACAAATTGCTTTGACCAAGTGTGAATAAGTTGAAAAGTCAAACAAAGCCGGTAAACAAATATTCAAACATCCAGCATGCGAAGCTTCCTTTTTTTCTGTGCAGTGAACGAGCATGGTTGGGAATTGAAATTATTCGGTTTCTTCATCTATTTTTATTTGTTTATTATATATACATTTTTTTAAAGAAAATGGTTAGGGAGTATAAATATTTTATCATAATAGTATCTATGTCAATTGATATATGATTTGAAAAAGTAAGTAATTAGTATAAAGAATAAAATATGAAATAGAAATTTCTCTTAATATGCTAAAGTGACAAATAAAAGTAAAAATTTATTTAATATATAGTTTTAAAGTTTGGAAAATGATTTGAAAAAATACGTAATTAATATAAAGAATAAAACATGAAAAAATATGTTTTCTTGATATGCTTAAGTGACAAGTAAAAGTGAAAAAACATATATATTTTTAGTATAATGAACATATATTTTTATTATAATAGATAAGTAAAAGTGAAAAAATATATTTTTAATATAATGAACAAGTAAAAATTAATGAAGTATATTTTTAGAATTTTGGTCTGAATTTTTGGATTTCAAATTTAATCTTTTTTTATTGGATCTTTTATTTGAAATTTTAGATTTTTGGATATTAGGAATTCAAAGAATTTATATACTTTCCGCCCAATTGAAATGATGCATTGACCAGCAATTGAGTTAAAAAAAAAAAACATACAAACTTTTATAACTTGTGGTTTGAGTCTTCGAGATTTGTATAACTATAAGTTATTTCATTATTATTTTGATCTTTTTACTTATCATGTTTTTTTTTGTATTTTCTTTTTTTTTTAAAAATATTTGAAGGGTAATTTGATAAATTTAAATATTTAACTATCCTTATTTATACTTCGATTACAATTTAATTGTCACACCCCTAACCTGACAGGGAAGGAACATTGAGAATCCATATAAGTACTTGTTAAACATATATATTGAACTCCCGCTAAAGATATAACGAGATAGGCATTGAATATATATCAAGATAACTAAAAACAAAATTAAATCTAAAAAGCCTCTAATGAATCTTTACCTTAGTAATTACTCCCTCTGTCCACAATTGTTTGGCAGGTATACTAAAAATAGATGTCCAAGATTAATTGTCAATTTAAACAATCAAAAAATAATTAGTCACTTTTTTCCAATTCTGCCCTTAATGATAGTGTAATTCAATTGAAAAGTTATGTGGACTTTTAGTATTCTTGGTATAGTAGGGTTATATTTAGTCAAATTACACCTTGTATTAAATTTTTCTTGAGGGGTGTGCATGACCTTACCTTGACAAACAATTGTGGACAGAGGGAGTAATAACTTGTGGGGCATGACCCCAACATACTCATCTCTCTCTATATATATATATAATATAGAGAGTGTGTAAAACTTTACTAAATTAATATACATTAAATTATGAAATATTATCATTTTGTAGAGGATTAATCGATAAATTAATATTTATTGATTAAAAGAGTGTTTTGAGATTCATGTCCTTCAAAATTTAGAAGAAATTGTAGATATCAAAAACCAATGTTGATGATGAAGTTGAAGATAATGCGATACCTTTGATACCAATTACGCGTAAAAAAACACTTATCACATTTCAAACTCTTCCGCCTTCACAATTTTATGAATTAATTCAAAAAAATAACACCAGAAATTTAGGTGAACTCAACTGGTCAAATAGATATAAATGAAAAATCATCACTATCATTGAAATCCTTAAGGTTATTGCTAACACTTTGTAGAAGTCAATCGAACAAGCTTCTCTTATACTCCCTCTGTTCATAATTACTTGTCCACTTTTCATTTTATAGTTGTCCCTAGTTACTTGTCCATTTTGACAAATCAAGAAATGACAAAAATTTTTTACCTATTATACCCTCAATTAAATGATTAATTACTTTGAAAAATGGCAGAACTTTTTATCCACTTCATAATTAATAGGGGTAAAATAATAAATTCACTATGTCATTAATTATGTTTTTTAATAAGTGTATCAATTCAAAAATGGACAAGTAATTAGGGACAGAGGGAGTATAATAACTCATAACAATAACTCATTGATATATATAAAATTATTTGGGTTGAATCTCTTTTTGGAGAAGATCGTTTTGTTTTTCCTTTGTTATTTTATTTTAGGC